GGGGGGGGGGGGGGGGGATGGGAATGGGTTGGGGTGGGGGGAGGAATGGGAAAAAGATGCAGTAAGGAACACATGTTGGAACAAATCTTATCCTGTTTTGATTATCTTGATGTCTCCAACATACAGATGTTGGAATTGTTTGGGGGATATGGAAACTGTAGTGAGAAGGAAGCAAGAGAACAAGCAATGAAATTCTGTTTCAAGCTGGCAGATAATTCTGTTTATTGTGTATTTAGATTTGCACAAGACCCAGAGCTGGTTTGTGACATATTTTGCTAATTGTGGTAGGATGTTGTAAGTAATATATAAACAAGTAATATATAAATTTTAATAACAAATACAGATTAGTGTGTAATTTAGACAGAGATATCTTTTGCAGGAGAGCATACCATACAATTTAAACATAGCAGAACTAACCATTTTATAAAACATAGCTCCCATCACATCTCCTTTGTATGGCAATGGAACTATTTTGCTAGGAGACCTGCGTAAAACAGTTATAGTAGTAGTTTTGATTCATTATGTGCCATCAAGTAATTTTCGACTCCTAGTGATCGCATACTGTAGATAGGTTTTCTTCATGAAATAGTAGTAGTAGTAGTAATTTTATTTGTCATGTGTTTATAACTAAGAAAACATAAGTCTGTATACAGACACAGTATAAAACAACAATGTAACACATTACAGTCAATTATAACATCATGATATAAAATAAAGTCCATAAAGTCCATACATGCAAATTAATAGCTATGATTTTTAAAGTTTAAGTGATCTAACTCCAAATGTAATTCTGGTGGGAGTCAATTCCAAAGAACCAGAGCAAGCTGAAAAGAGATTCTCAACTATGATGTGGCTGTTCTAGTATACAGGAGAAGCAATTGACCGTGGTCTGACAATGGGATCAAAAACACAGATATATGAGCTATCAGCAAGTCTTTCAAATAACTAGATATGCAGGACACAACGTATCAGTATCATCACTTTATACTGTATATTTCCCAAATTTCCAACCAGTGCAATACCTGGCAGTAAAAGAACTAGGAGTAAAATGTGTAAAGTCCAGAATAGTACAAACAGCAGCATTTCGGACATAAAGAGTGGAGTGAAGCCTGGAGTAACCCACATAACCCTTTGTGGTTCTGTTCCTAGTGCTCCAGAATGGGAAGGTGGGGCTCAGTTTTTCTGAAACATGCTCCAGAATCAGGAACTACTTAAAATGGGTACTTTTACAACACAGGACTGATCATTTTTCAAACCAGTGATCTAGTTCTTAAACAAACTGAGTGGTCCTTGCACAACCCTACTATAGAACATCATGAGTTATGTATGTTACAGTGCTACTTATTCTATAAATCTTCTGAAACCTATAATCCTGGACAGCTAAGGCAGTGTTTCTCAACCTTGGTAACTTTCAGATGGCTGGACTTCAACTCCCAGAATTCTGTCCACCCATCTGAAAGTTATCAAGTTTGAGAAACACTGGGCTAAGGTATCTCAAAAGTTCAACCTGAGTAATGGCAGTCTACTGTAATTATACTTTACTGGGGAACTCTTGGAAGAAGCAGTCCACCAGTAGGACAGAATAAACAATCAGTGCTATAATTCATATATTCCCTATCACATCAGTCCCATAAAGACATGTTCTGATTTTATAAGTGAGTCAAACAATTCAAGGGACATGTCCATAGTATATAATAAACCCTCTTACTAACAACTTCCTAGAAAAGGTGTTCTATAGAAGAAGAATCTTTGACAGATAATTCTTCCTGCCAAACTATAATTTCCAGGTTTGTTGGCAGGAAATCATGAGAGTTAAAAGTGGTGTGAGATTATTTCATATATTTGTAATATAGTTATGACAGGAGTTTACTAAGTCAGAGAAATGGTTTATAGATTTAATTATGGTGTTTTCCAGGCAAACTTTCCAAGAGACTGAATCTATATTTTATAGTCAGCCATAGTCATAAGTTCAGTCCTGCTTGAGCTTCTCTTCCTTTCCAAAGTCTAGAAGTGACTGTTTAATCTTGGACTGCTTATCTAGTCCTAGAATTTTGGGTAATGGGTCATCAGTGTCTATAGAAGAGAAATCATGTAACCTGCATTGTTGCTTCAAGGCTGGTTTCTCAAAGTACATGTATATGTTTCTCACTTGCACTGTAATAGGATTTTCGGGATTCAGTGGCACATGCTTCTAGGCAGCTTGGAAAGCCAATAATTGAAGATAAGATCCTGAATCAGATCTTGTACTATCTACCTCAGCTATATGAGCTTAATCGGGACCTTCTGAGAGAACTAGAAGAACGCCTTTCTCATTGGTAACATTTTCTTTCTCTCTCATTCTTTCTGTACCACCAGCTTGTCATGGAGATTGATAGGATGTCAATCTTGATGAGAATCAGACTTCCAGCAAAATTTAGGGTAGAGAGGACGGTGGTTGTCCAAAGCCTAGATTTAGCTCAGAAGTTACAAGGTGCCCCTTGTGGATTTAGGTAGCTATTTGGAATATATTCTGGAATATGTTGAAAAGTAAAAGTCCCTTTTGCAACTAAGCTTGTTACAGTAACTGGACAAAGTTTTCAGAGAAAGCCTGACTATGAATATCTAGAGCTGAGTGCAGCCTCTTTTGAGACCTCTTGTCCTCTGGGTGCAGAATGTATAGGGAAAGGAAGGGGCAGACAGAGAAAATAACTGCCTCCATGCTACATTCTACAGCTGCAAATTCTAATTGTTTACTGTGTTGAATTCTAGGATTAACCATCAGAGAATTGCTGATATATTTGTGAAAAAGGGACCTTACTTAAAGATGTATTCAACTTACATCAAAGAGTTTGATCGAAATGTAGCTCTGCTTGATGAACATTGTAAAAAGAACCCTGGGTTTGCTACTGTTGTTCGAGAATTTGAGGTAAATAATCTTTCTAAATACGTTGGTTTGTACATTGTCTATTGACTCTGAGTTTAAGGACAGCTTTATATAAATTCAGGGTATAAAGTGCATATATCTCTTTTCAGGTACAGTTTTTATATGAGTGAGGGTTTTATATATTGCATATATGTTAAGGGGCTAACTATCAAAATATTGCTGACCTAAAAAGATTGCTAATAAAGTCCATGGCAGCTTTGATTCACATAATATGATCAGAAAATCCCACCACCTTGCTATTAAATGTTAGTATAAGCCAAGGCTCTTGGTAAAATCACTTTTCATTTCAGATGAAATCTTTTCCGAAATGCACATTTAAAGCCTCCATGTTTAGCTTCTTGGTGTTTTTGAACATGAATCTATATGAAGGCATAATGCCTCAGCTTCACTAGGGAGAAAAATTTTCTTCATTGTTTTACAGTTGTGTATCTGCTAGTATGAATGAATTCTATTTGGTTCATTCAGGAATGGGCAGAGGTAAGGACAAAACAGTGAAACTTTTACGATCATAGCAAAATGACATGCTATTCATTAGAGGATGTTTCTAAAATGAAGACAACCTGTATTAGTCCTCTGGTGGTATAAAAATCAGCGTACAGTCACAAGGATGATAGCTGTTTCATCTGGTTCAGATCCGTTGCTTTAAATGAAGCTAATTGGTCTGGAAATTCTGGAATTTTATTTTTCAGATGAGTCCCCGCTGTGCTAACCTGGCACTCAAACACTATTTGCTGAAGCCTGTTCAGAGGATCCCTCAATATAGGCTTCTTTTGACAGGTAAGGCTAAACTTTGCAAGCTAAAAATAATTCTGTATATATAGCCAGGATTCAGACGTGTGGTAAAATCATGGCTAGTTTAAAACATTATTCTTGTCTATTCTAAGGTAGATGAAAATGTAAAGGCAGCCTGCTGTTGGTTCTTTTTCATTTTCCACTCAATAAATGTTCATAGTGATAACCCTCAGGCTTCAAGTCAGACTGAAATTGAACCCTGGCAAGATGGAGTTGCTGCTGATGCATCTGGATCCTCTATCATTATTCCTTGATGGGCAAGCGCTACCCGTCAAGGGGCAGGCTCGCAACTTCCTGCTGGACTCACAGCTTCTGCTGGATCAGCAAGTAGAAGCTGTGCCAGAGAGCCCTATGCCCAACTCTGGTTGGTACACTAGTTGCAGCTCTACCTGGGGTTACTGGCAACAGTAACTCATTTTATTTATTTGTTTGTTCGTTTATTTATATATCAAATTTATATGGCTGCCCATCTCAAAAAAGTTATTCTGGGCGAAGTACAACAAAATTGTAAAATTGCGAACTTATAAAAAACAATCATTATAAAAAAAATTAAAAATCACAAGGCATAAGAGAGAATAGATGTTAACAGTAATAATGGAGCCACCTCAAGCTCTCAACTCATGCTCTTAACACCACCTGGGTAGGCTACTGTAATGCACTTGTACTTGGAACTGCCCTTACAGAATAGTCGGAAATTGTTGGTTCAATATCCAGTGCCCTGCATACTTTTGGGCTCCCAACATTGGGAGCAGATAACAATGTTTTTGTACACTCTGCATTGGTTTCAAATTAGTTTCCAGGTCCAACTTAAGGTGCTGGTTTTGACCTACAAAGCCCTTAATGGTTTGGGGCCCAAATACTTTCCAGACTGTCAATCACTTTTGGCCAGACTGATTAGATCTAACAGGGGAAAACTACTGCAAATCCCACACTTTGGGGAGGTTTGGGGAGCTGAGGCAAGGAGGTGCTACTTTTCTGTTATAGTGACAACACTGTGAAGCAGCTTCCCTGTGAAGATCAGGCCGGTTCCCTCTGTGCTGGTTTTCTGCAAGCTCCTAAAGACCAAACGTTTTGAGAAAGCCTTCTTCTGATTTGAGTTGTTGTTGCCATCTTTTATTTTCTTTCTATTCTTATAGTGTTGTTGTATTTTTATTTCTGTACGGGATTTGTTTTATATGAAAACAAACCCCATACTTTCTATGAACCAAAGAAAGTGGTTTTTGATTTTGTATTTGATACAAATATGTTTCATAAATAAACAAAATATGTGGATTCAATTTATATAGTTTGGTGATCCTGAACTTATATATAGAATTCAAAAATCCATATGTCTCTATTTAAGGTTCCTTTTTTAGGGGTAGGAATGTCTTTCAGGTGACATTTGATTTAACAGAAAAATAAGTATTATTGAACATAGCAGGACATCCTTGTAACACAACCATAGAATTGTACTGTAAGTTATTCTAACATTTCTACTGTGCTTTCTTTTTGTTTTTTGTTACTAAATGTACACCCCACATTTTTGTTTATATAAGCAGTCAAGGCAGCTTGCAACAGTAAAGGTATAAAATATAGAACAAAAGTATTTAAAATCAGAATTAAATGTATCATTAAAACTAATCAGCAGTTAAAAGCATGGAGAAAGAGGTGCATTTTTGCCACTTTCCTAACTCCTTGGAGAATGGACCCATGTGCTTCTCTCTGTAGAGGCCAAGCCCAGCCACCACACCAGAGAAAGGCTTATTCCATGTGGTAGACAGCTGAGCTTCTGGTAGTGGGGGTACACATCTTCAGAAGTGTAGAGGAGCACAAAGGTGGTCTTGGGGAATTTATGTGGCAACCGATAGTAAAACATGAGCTTAGTCCTGGGATACAAAAGTGTGTGAGAAACAAAAGTAAGATTGTCCTGACTTGACTCTTTGGTATAAGAGGGACGGAAGGAAAACACTGTCAGACTTGTAACTGTACAAACACTGTAATAAAATTCTGTTATTAC